CTCATCAAGGCCACCTGGGCCGCCATGAGACCCCCCTGCGGGCTGAGGTTACCTGACCAACGGCCGCCCGGCCAGGCGGGGGGGAGCCATCGCCGGGCGGCTGCGGGGGACCAGGAAGCCGGTGTCCGAGCGGGGAGAAGCCTGGCCCCATCCCGCAGGGCACAGTACGGGTCTTGGCACACTCGAAACATCCTGCTTCGGGAGCTGTCCCGCCAGGAGCGCGTCGCTATGTCCCTGGTAGCACGCCTTGCGTTGCTATGTCCCTGGTAGCACACCTTGGAAACGCGGCTGCTTACGTAACTGGATGGGGCAGTATGGGTGAGAGGGAGCTTTGCTCTCTTGCCTTGGGGGCTGGCAGGGAGACGGATTCATTTTATTTTATATTATTTTTTTTTAACGTGCTCTGGCTGCAGTTGTTTAGCAGCGCTTCTGGTTCTCCATAAAGTACTGATTCCAAGAAATAAATGGTACTTCTTGACTTCCAGGCGCTATAACTTTGTGTCCTTTCAATACTTACCGACGCTTAGAATGACCAAGGCTCCTAGCAGAGTGGTACCAGGCAGTTAGTGATGGCACACTACAGGCAATGCTCAGGCAACATTAAAACCAGCTTTGTGCAATTGCAGGTGTCTACACAAGACGAAGGGCAAGAGTGAACCAAGCCCTGGCTTTTCTGATTTCTTCTCCTGTAGAGTTAGTGGAGAGACCCGTGCTGCAACTTTGGTCACGATGGTTCCAGAAACCAAGCCCTCTGCTCTCGTGTCCTGTCTACTTCCTAACCTCCGAGTGAAGCACCACCAGCTGTAAAAGCGACTTGCTTGTCTGAGAACAGCAAAGACAGTGCTTGCTTGAAGGATGTCATTGGCTTAATTGCAGTCTGCTGCACCAAGACAAAACATCCTTCATCCTCATCTCGGTTATGGGCTCAGTAACTCATTGCTGGCATGACACCGTTCTACTGTGCGTTTCCCCATATGCCTTGTCTTTGTTTCAAGATTTGTTCCAGCATCCAATGCCCTGCTTCTGCAGATGCTTTCACCTGAAAGCAGTTTCATTACGTTAAATGAATGTAACCTGAAACATGTGTGCCAGCATTTTGAAGACTGTAATTAGTCTAACAGTGCACCTGGTTCAGCCACCAAACCCAAGACATGCTGGCTGGAATGTTACTGCAGCTAAAACGGCATTTGTTAGCAGCATTCAGCTGACAAAACACAACTCCGAGCTTAGAGGGGATGGGACCTCTTCAATATTAGATAAAAATCACTGTGTGCTTTATAAGTTCCTCTCTCTGAGCAAGGTTGTGTTTATTTACTGAACTCTGCTCCTAATGTCAGATTTTTCTAGTATTGTGAAAAAGAATAAGAACTGTGGAGAATGCTTTCATTTATTTCCCTTTAGGAGGGACCAACATAGGTCACCTGGGCTCTGACCATTTTTTTAGAGCCACATATATATATTTTTATATATGTTTTTTTTTAATATGAAAAAAATGACAGCAGTCATAATATTTGATTTTCAGACAAAACCCATGAATTTCTTAGATTCTCGAGAAAACTGTTTAAATGTAGTTCATTCTTGTATTTCACTGCTGTTCTTATTTAAAAAAAAAAAAAAAAAAAAAAAAGCTATGTTATGTATCAGTCTCTACAGGTTTTTGTGGAAAATGATGGTTTCTTCATGCTTCCATTTACAGCTGGCTGTTAAAGATACAGTGTTCCTATTCTGTGGACCTTCTTTGGGGATCATACTAGAAAAGTAGAGGGACTTGGCTGGCAAACTCTGCATTTCTGTTTATTTAATACTGATTTGCTGGAAAGTCAGATTATCCACATTAGATAACGTAGGGAGAGATCCTGACTCATAATTAACACTGTAATAGGATTCAGTGGATATTCTGTCAATTTGATTTCTGCCTCTTGAATGTGCAGAAGTAAATTATACGATACTAGTTTGATTAAATTTGTACAAACCAAGATGGAAAAAGCATGAAGCATTTCAGTGCAGATGGATTTATGGATTTTGGTGGCAGGATGGTGCTGGGGCTAAAAATTTAACAGAATAGTGAGAAGTTGAGGCCTATCTGAAATGTAAGAAATCAAAGTAAACCAGAGTATAAATATTCTTAGAAGCTGACCTTTAAAATGTTTCCTAACATACAAAAACCTGACAACAGGAAATAAAGGCTGTACCTATGACGGAGAAGTTAACCTTTGATCCCACTAGTTAAACAGTGTAGGAGTCCTGTCAGCCACAACAGTAGTGGCCTTGAAGTTTCCTATCTTAACAAGAATTTTAACAAGAACTTAAAGAATTTAACATTGAAACCATCGTGGGAAACTCTAATGAACAACACTGTTTTTGAGAGCGGAAGTTAAAAGAGTAAAGAATTCTTGACTTTTAATGTGTTTAACATGACTTGTGATTTAGAATAGCCTGCCTCCTTGTGACACACATAGCAAGGATGGAGCTGATCTGGATATGGGATGCCTCAGAGTGCCTGTGTAAGACAACCTGACACGGGCACAGATACTGATCCCACGGCAGTGCTCTGTATCCTGGTCGAGAGACTGCTGATCCTGATGACTTATGTATTGCATAAATTCATGACAGCCTGGGACAAGCAGGTATTTTGGATCTCTGAACATTCATGGCTCTTGTTGAGGATTATATCTCTTCTTATGCCACTTATCTTAGTTTGAGGTAGGGCTTTGCTTTTGTTCTCAGCTAGGGACCAGCTTTAGTTCTTCTAGGGATAAAAAGGTGTAGGCAGACCGTAGTCTGGAGCACAGATTAAAAGACAATCTAATAATTGGATCCTGTGTTACTGGTATAGGGGACTGGACTCCCATCTTCTGTGGTCATCCCTTTAGCTCACCTTGATATACTGATGACTAACACCACTATGGAACCTGCAGCAGCTGTCCCTTCAGAGCTGGTGATAATGCCCTGAAGAATCTTAAGGTAGGGTAGGTAAAGCAAGATTTCTTCACTGCCTCTTAAGTAACATTCACTCAGAAAGGAGAGTTATATGGAAAAAAATAATGAAGATATCAAATATATATTCATTAAATATTAAGCTACTTACATCTGAGATGAAAATGTAAATAACAAGGAAAGCAGAAAGTTGTTTATTTTAACTGGAGAAGTGCATGAGTTTATTAGGACTAAAAGCAACTTTTTTTTTTTTTTTTTAATCCAGCTAAAATTATTGATATAAATAGGCTGTAATAAGCTATACTAGGTACAACATAAATGGGAATTAAAGGCAGAACGTTACAGAGACAGAAAGCTGGAGAAATGAAGATAACTAATTCTTCAAATATATTAAATGCAAGAAGGCTACACATTGCTTTCTTTGGTGTATTGATTCTTATACTTGATCTTGCATTGACTGAACCGAACGCAAACACTTTAACACAGAAACAGTATTTTACAGTTGAAGGCATATCCTCAAATAGACAGGTTCTGCACAAAAGCAGGACTGCATGTAAACTGGACTTGAAACCAGAGAGTTCTAAAAAAGAACAAAGCCCCTGGTACATATTTTGACTTTATCTACAGTGGCTAAATATCTCAGTGTTTTCTATAAGTGTGCAAAATGGTGCATGCAATACCACATCAGCTATCAGATTAAGAGCAGCAGGAAAGTGCCACTTCATTGCATATGCCTAGTCATGGTTATTTTGTACAGGGCATGTACCCAACACATAATAAAAATCTTTCTCAAAGTCACTGTTCTACTTTGAGTGGGAGGCAAGATGGCTTATTGGGACACTTGTTCAGAAAAGAGGTGACCTTTGTGAAATAGATTCTTCAGCTTGATACCTCTTAAGGTGGGAGAAATCATCACAGTGGCTTCTGAAAACTTTGCTTAACTCCAGTGGATTTTCGAATGCTGTCAAGGACCCTTAAGAGTATGCAGAGACTGAGTTAGATTTAGGTACAATGAAATATTTGCCTATCTAAAAACCAGTAGACTTGCACGATCAAATAGATAAATTGTTCTAAATGGAAATTACAC